CTTCCAGATCTTCATGGGACATTGCCACAGTGGCCTTAAGAAACCAGCACAATGACAGACATTGGGCAAGGACAATGCAGACACAACACAACAATGCAATCCCATAAAACAAACAACCTGATAGACTACTTAAAATGCTCTGCTCTTCAAAGAATACTATTCGAAGGAGCAAAATATACAAGGGGAAAAACCTGCAAGGCATGCGTCTGAAGAAGGGCCAGCTTGTGGACCATTATGAACTCTTGGGCAGGGCACAGTGGCATACACCTGTGATCTCAGCACTCAGGGCTAAGAGGGGGTAATGTGAGTTCCAGGCCAGCTCAGACAACACAGTGCAACCCCAACCAAAACAATTAAAAATAAAATAGACGTAGTCTCAAAACCCCACAGTTTTGAGATCAACCCAATTTATAAAGAAGAATGGTAAAAAAAAAAACCAAAAAACAAAATGGATACTCCAAAGATGACACATGGATGGTCAACAAGCCATTAAAAGATATGCATGGCTTGTTACTAGGGAGACCACACAACCATTTAAAGCCCAGCCACCGCAGAAGACAAAGATGCAGAGAAACTGGTACCACACAATATGGTTGGGGACGTGAGATGGTAAAAGGCAATCTGGAAAGTACTGGGTTCATTTCTTAAAACACTAAATGTAAATTCAGCAAATTCTGTCGTCTGCCCACTCCTACGCATTTACACAAGAAAACGGCAAGCACTCACCGGCACGAAGTCTTAGACACAAACGCTCTTGGCAGCTTTATTTGGAATAAGCTAGCCCAGAAATAACCCAGATGCCCATCAGGCTGTGAAGAGACAACAAGCTCTGATTCAGCCGGACAATGGGATGCTTCTAGGCAATGAGAAGGATTAGAAGTATTTTCTCTGAAGGGCCCTCCATGCCACTAGAAGAGCGAGAAACGAGAAGCCGAGAACAGAACAGAGCAAGCCTTGTTCTGGAGAAGGCAAAGCCTCTGAGAGAAAGCTGCTGCAGGAAGGTGTGGGGCGTAGCCAGCACCCAGAAGCGAACACAGCCTGACACCTGGCACCCTTTATTAGGACATCAGTCATAGGCAGGCACTTAGGAGCCAGAGCCACGCTTTGGTCCCTGGCGGAGGAAGATACGCATTGTTTAAACCTTTCCTTTGTTCACAAAGACTTCCACAAAAGACAGACTTCTCTCAACAAAGATCTTCCTCCAAAATACCCAAACTCAGCTCACAAAGTACTATGCCTTCCTTGGGGGGCTGTGGGAGGGGCTCTCATACCCTTCTCATACCACGTCCCAGTAGGGCGTGGCAGGGCTATCCCATAAGCATGGAAGGAAGGCAGCAAGACCAGAAACTGTGCTGGGCCCCTGGAGACTATGGGACTAGGAGGGGTGCATGAAACCAGAGTCTTGGGGCAGTCAAGGTGAGTCTCAACTGGATAGGAGGAAGATTCAGGGGGTCAAAGTAGGGGGTAAGAGAACACCCCCAGGCCCAGCATTCTGCATGTAAGCATGTCCTTTAGCAAGTCGTTCACTCAGATGCTGGCCACAAAACCCAGTTTGTAATATGAAGATTTCCAGGTATTTGGGACACTGATGGTTGGTTCTGGATCAGGCCCTGGAAGCTACAAACCCCTCCTGGGAGGAGAATTGACAGAAATGGCTAGAGCTTTCCTTCCACGGACTACCACACCCTCTGGCAAGGCTGAGCAATTGCAGAAGAGCTACCTGAGGTTGGGAGCATACCCCACATCCACATGACATTCATGTCGCCCTCCAAAGGCCAGTCAAAGGTGCGCTTCTTCCCAGACACATCTGTAAGCCACATTGCCACTGACTTTCTCTCCAGGTGCTCACCGGGCCAAGTTCCCTAGATCTCACAGTCATAGCGGAAAGAAGGGGTAAACAGCTCTTAGTGGCTGTCACAACTGGGAAGCAGAGCCCTCAGTAAATGCAAACGCAGGCATGCTGGTTCTCATCAGTGCTGGTCTGCTCCCCGCTTGCTCAGCAGCTCTAGAGGAGGCTGCTGCAGCCGTGGATAACGGCCCAGGCTTTTCTGACTCTCCTCATAAACAGGCACCCTCAGAGCTCTACCGCTCTCGGAGGCCAGGCCAGTGAGTCCAGAGGCCACTGAAGCAGACATCTTGGTGTGGCATTGTCTCACTTGATAAATTCATGTGGCCTCTGCTGTGTGCCAGACTCCTTGGTCATAACCGGGACCTCAGAGCTGATTTGGAAACGAGTGTGGCTTGCCCATAGATACCCCGTCTTAGAGGAAAACAGCCACACAAGGCAACAGGATGAACTGGTGGCCACCTATACCTCTACTCCACAGATAGCTCAAAGGTCAGAGGCCAAATAAGAAAGCCCCCCCCCCCCCCCCCCGGAACCGCCTTTGGAACTTTGAAGCACCGGTGGGTACCAGTTCCACCCTAGGAAAAAGGCTTTGAAACCACAAGGCCCTGGGGAACTGGCTTCACCATAAGCATCTCATTAACAAGGCATAGTTACCTGCCCCGCCTGTCACAGGGTATAACTGGGCCACCATTTCCTACTCGCGTTGTCAAGTGCAACCAAATCCAAAGTCCATGCTCTTAAAGTTCTACCTTGATTTTGAGGATCTGTATCCAAGGTGATACTTCTGGTCTCTGCCTACCACTTTGAGTCCTTGTAGGAGACTACACAAGTTCTGGGAAGTTCCTAAGTGAGGGAACAGACATCTGGAGTCGACTGCAAGTGGGTCCTCTGGAGGATGATGCTGGCCTCGGGACTTCCTGGATGAACTGCATAATGGGGATGGGGGACCCATCCCTCCCCACACACACCAACTTTTAGGCGGCACAAGCTCAGGGCACAAGAGAGGAAAAAAAGGGAGCCCTGGTAGGGTCAACTTTGATCCTCTGATCTGAAGCCTTCAAAGAATGAGCTCCCTAGTAAACAGCAGAAGTCGGGGACAGACCTAGGTCCACCGCTGGCTACGTCTGTGACAGCTCCGGGCTGCAGTCTCCTCAGAGCTACCCCACGCCTTGTCAAAATGTGCTTTCTGACCCAGATGCAGAGGGCTTCAGACCTGCTCTCGCCTCAGCGAGCTGCACGATGTGCCGACCATGCCAGCTGCTCTCCTCTCCCCACAACAGCCCTCCATCATGTGGGGCCAGAAATCCTTTACACCACAGCAAGACCCAGGGACTCACCTCAGAGTGCAAGGGAAGCTCACAAGAGGACAGGCACAGCCACACTCAGAGGGACAAGACCCAGGGACAAGACAAGGCTGCAGAGACCTCACAGACCAGTGTCCAACAAAAGCAGCAGACGGAAGACAAGCCTTTCCCAGTTAGGGGTCCTACAGTATCCTGACTAGGACATCCTATGGTACCCCAGGAGGGGCTTTCCCAGAAGATGTTTACACAGATAGCAACTTCACCATCCAATTCTGAGATGTTCACCCCAGCAACATTCCACGGGACCTCATCAAGGGGGCATGGGGATAGATTTATGTCAGCCTGACACAAGCTAAAGTCATCTGAGAGGAGGGATGCTCAGTTGAGAAAATGCCTCCATAAGATGGGGCTATAGGCAAGTCTGTAGGACATTTGTTTAATTAGTGATTAATGGGGAAGGGCCCAGCCCACTGTGAGTGGGGCCATCCCTGGTCTGGTAGTCCAGTGTTCTAAAAGAAAACAGACTGAGCAAGTCATAAGGAGCAAGCCAGTAAGAAGCACCCCTCCATGTCCTCCGCATCAATTCCTGCCTCTAGGTTCCTGACTTGCTTGAATTCCTGCCCTGACTTCCCCAACTTGCTTTAGGTTCTGGTGTTCACTACAACAATGGAGTCCATAACTAAGAGAAGGGAGTACTGTCTAAAATTCTTGCTGCCACCCTTCCCACCTTAATCTCCTCTCTGCCCAGCTTGGGGCTACTCCCACCTGCAGTCAAACATTATACCTGCTGTCTGGTGTCTGCCAATAACCTAACCCGTGCCCACTGAGTCTCCTTACCCAGCCAGCACTGCACCCAATTCTGACAAATCGCACCAGCCCTGGCTGCCCAACTCACTTCACTAAGAAACCCTTCTCTGCTGCCTTCACCGAGGAAATGGCTACCCATGCCCCTCAGTTTCCCAGCACCCATGCCCCACCTGGGCCAAGGGTAGGAAAAAGAGAATGTAACTCCACAATAAACCCCTTCACCACCTTGAAGGGTAAAGATTGTTAGGAGGTAAGACAGGCAGTAGCACCCCAATAAATTACATGCTCAAGTGTTCCCACCTCTGCCTTCTGCTCCCTCCTTCCCTCCCACTATCAGTGGTTCCCACTCTTCCTCAGGTACAGATGGTGTGCTGTGGAACTTGCCTCCGCCTACACAGGCTGGGAGCCAGGATCAGTGTAGATCTACAAGACGGGTGAGCTACAGGGATTTCAGCCTACATGGTAAAGTTCCAGAAGTGCAAAGGACTCCTAAGACCATACACTAGGTTCTCACACAGAGACATGGAGCCTAAGGACAGAGTGCCACCCTTCAGCAAGGCTTACCTACCACAAGTGCCAAATGTTAAGAATCCCAGCAGGAAGCCTGGTGAGCATCCCCAACATTCCTAGCATCAGCGGGGGCTGGGGAAGGGGGAGTCTGCAGTAGAATCACCAGGAGCAGGGGTTTCAGCAGGGACTGGGGGAAGAGGTAGCAGGCATTTTCCAGCTCAGAAGGAGGGCAACCCCAGAGCAAGGCCAGCCCGAGAAGAGTCACAGGTAGAGAGGGGGCTGTGATTGTCCCAGGTACACAATGCCAGGCTGGCCAGGGCCAAGAGCAGCCCGCAGGACATGGTTCCATCGGAACGCCTCTTGGAAGGAGCCAGTGTAACTTGTGAAGTGCAGGTACCAAACGTAGGCCTGACGTAGAACCACTGACCAGTGAGGCCCCTATACTGCAGATACCGAGGTTGGCTGGGCAGAGCACCTCTGCAGAAGCGCTCTGGCTTAATCAAGAGAACAAAGGCAAACATTGTGCTTACCGTGGCTAACTCGTCGAACTTGCCGAAGAGTTCGTTGAGCAGTTTCACCAGCTCCTGGGCCGTGCACTGGGATGCCAGACCTGTGAACCCCACGATGTCTGCAAACAGGATGCTGCAAGAGGAAGGGGATCCAGGTCACCTCTCCTTGGTCACTTTAGAAATCATGAGCTAAGAGTTGCATAGCCTTTTCCATCTATACCCTTGCTTACTCCTGAAAGCTGACTTGTAGACTTCCTTGTACATGGAAGTTTCTATCCTGCCAGGCCCCACAGTCATTCAGTCCCAAATAAACACACAGAGGCTTATATTAGTTATAAACTGTTTGGCCTATTGCTCAAGCTTATTACTAACTAGCTCTTACAACTTATATTAACCCATAATTCTTATCTATATTCAGCCATGTGGCTTGGTACCTTTTCTGAGTAAGGCATTCTCATCTTGCTTCCTCTGGGTCTGGCTGCCAACTGTCTCTTTCCTCTTCCCAGAATTCTCCTAGTCTGGCTGCCCTGCCTATACTTCCTGCCTGGCTACTGGCCAATCAATGTTTTATTAAACCAATATGAAGACAAACCTTTATAGTATAAAAAAGTATTATCCCCCAGCACTTCTTCGTTCTTTTATAGGCAAGAGGACCTAGGCTGAGGACAGCTGCAAGGCACACCTCTTGGTCACAGAGGGATTAGTTGCTGGGCCACTTGAGCTTGCCATCCCTCATGCTGACCCCTCACCCCGCATAGGGAGCTCTTACTAACTTCCCAATAGACCAGCTCCCTTCCCAGAGAGCTCACCATGGGCATCTACATTGGGGCCAGGGACAGGAAGTAGAGTGTCTAGCTTTTAAGAAAGGAATGGTCCATTCCCACCAGCCATCTTCTCCTTCTGCTACGTGGATGCATGTGCCTATCAGAGTGTCAGAACCAAAGCCCTAAATCACTGTGTAGAGCAGCGGTTCTTAAGCTGTGAGTTGTGACTCCTTTGTGTTTGGAGGGGGGTTTCAAATAACCCTTTCATAGGGCTCACCTAAGACTATAAGAAATATGGATGTTTACATTATGATTCATAACAGTAGCAAAGAAAAAACTTTATGGTTGGGGGTCACCATGCATGAGAAAGGATATATATTAAAGCATTTGGAAAGTTGAGAACCACTGGTGTTGAAGGTTCATAGCCCCACATGACACCCCCCCAAGTATTAGGTGATTATTTATTGCAGAACTGGGGTCAGTCTCTAGAACATGGTGCCTGCTCAATTTTCTACAGAAGATAAGATTCTAAAAGGTATTTCCTATTATTTTCTCTTTCAAAACGAAAACATATTCTGCAAACATATGAGAGATGAAAAATATTGTTTGTTTTTAAACGTTGTTTAGCTTTAAGGTCTGTCTTTAAATATGCTGCTCAAATATTCAGAGCTTTCCCATAATTTCAGGAAGCGAGATGCTCCACCTTCTGCACCCCTCTGTGGGAGCTACAAATGTCAGGCAAAAATAAATGAGCGCTCTTGTGGACAACAGAGGGTGTTGCCAAAGATAAGCCAGGCTGGACAGTACTGGAGGGGAGCAGGGGTTAGCGCTGGGCTCTGGCAGAACAGTCCCACTCCACCAGCTACAGCAAGGAGACTGTCTGCCCTTCCTCATGCCCACTTCTCATATGCGACTCGGAAATGAGCGTGCACATGTCCATCACCATGTACGATATTTTTATCACTTCTGTTTTTAAATTTTTTCATACAGTATATTTTAATCACATTCTTTCCCCTCTCCAGGTTCCTCCCTCAACCCATCTACCTAACTTCATGTCCCTTCTCTCTCTTTAAACAACAAAAAACACAAAACACAAAACTAAAACCAAACCAAATTTAAAAAAAATAAAATTCAAGCACGAATGCATACACACATAGAGAGAGAAACCAAAACAAAACAAAACATGGCGTCTGTTTTGTGTTGGCCAACTACTTCCGAGCACGAGGCTGGGTGCTCCACTGATTTTCCCTCTTCCAGCATCTTTCAGAGTTTATGTCCACTTCCCCTCCCCCTGCTGGGATTTTGTGTGGTTAGAGGCTGTGCAGGTCTTGCTGTGGTGCTACAGTCTGAGTTCAAACAGCTGTTTCCTCCTGGTCCCCCACTCACACTCATCTGAAGAAGTGTTATTTACTTGCCGGCTGCTCACGAAGGGCTAGCTATGCTGGACGCGTGCTTGGGTTGGACCATAAACAGGAGATTCCAATAAATACCTCTGCCCTCGGGATTCTTCTGGCCAGGGGAAGGGGACATTTGAAATATGTCAAGGCATTTTATTTATCTGTGGTGGAAAGAGATAAGGAGATGGTTGAGGGGCCTAGACTTCCAGCTATGAGCAGACCAGCTTTGACCGGCAAGAAGAGAGCAGGGAGCTAAGGAGCCACGGAGCAAATGGGGCTTCTGCGGAGGGGCCAGTGCTGCAGCTCCCGTGTCCTGGAGGACGCAGAGTTCTTCCCTTTTTACTCCAGCCTTTGAACGTACCTTCCTGCTGGCTTCTGGCCCTCATCTCCATAAACTGGGCATCATCTCACTCAAGATCACTTCTTGATAGCCCTCTCTCTCCTGCTGCTTTCAGATTCTGCCTGCATCTCTGGCTGTCATCACTTTGACTAGGATATGCCTTGGTGTGGGTCTCTAAGTTTATTCTCTTTAAAACACATCAAGCTTCTGGGATAAATAGATTAATATGGTTGGGGGTGTTGTTTTAAGGAATATTTTTAGTCATTGTTTTTTCAAAGGTCCTGTCTTCTTCCCTTGTCTAGGGAATCTCAACACGTGTGTGTTGGTAAGCTTGATAGCACCTCACAGTGTTCTGAAACCCTTCCTATTTCTCCATTTTCCCCACCCTTCTGCTGCATGGCGACGCTCCTGGCTCTGCCATTAAGTTCTCTTATTCTCCCGCTGTCGGCTCAAGTCAGCAACTGAACCCCTCCAGAAAATTTTCACCTCACTTGTATGTCTTAAATTTAGAAGTTCTATTTGATTTGGTTATTTTTAAAAAGTCTGCACTGTTGGTATCCTCTGTTTGGTGAGGAAACATCGCCATGGCTTCCTTTAATTGCACAGACAGTTTGAACACATTTAAAATCGTTGACTCCAAATGTTCGTCTAAGAATCCCAATGTCTAGGCTTCCTTGGGGACGGTTTCTGCTGACTGCTAGTTTTGCTCATGTATGAGCCATGCATACTTTTTGCAGCATATCCAATATATCTGAGAGCACAAGACAGCAACTCTAGAAATGAGTCTCGCCCATCCCCATCTGAGGGTTCTGGTCACGACTGGTTTGGATGTTCTTTGCAAACTAATTCTGCATAGGCTTGGTCTTCTGAAATTCCCACATCTGTGCCTAGACCTTTGCACAGGAACCCCATGTTTATTCAGTGCCCAGCTGTCCCTTTCATTATTTCCAGTCACCTTGCTGCCTGCCTCAACTGTCACCGCTACCGGAAGCAGCTGCCGTGCTGAAAGATCACCCTGGGCTGTTTCCAACAAAGGCGCTGCGTGGCTGAGGCTGTGGCTGAGGCGGGGCTGAGTCAGGGCTGCTGGCAAAGGCCAATGAGAGGGCTTCCCAGGGAATCCCCAGGTCAGCAAACCCTGATAATTCTGAGTGCAGAGCTTTGAAGGGGCACATTCTCAGCCTCCAGAGGCTGTGGAGCTAAAGAGAAAGAGCAGGGAACGGGTGCTGAAGCCACAGAGTCCCAGTCTTGATGCCCAGTGGTTTCTCCCGAGGACACACTCCTGGGTGATTGCCGGAGTTTGATGAATCACCAAGCTGGATCTAATTCCAGTTACTCCTGCTATTGCTGCTATGAAATCATTGCCAAAAAAAACAATGTCATAGAACTCAGCCCATTTTTCTTTCTAGGATTTTATACATTTCAGGTTATAATCAATTTTAGTTGATTGTGTATATGGTATCAGATGAAGGTCCAATTTCATTGTTCCATGTGTGGATGGTTGGCTTTTCGAGCACTGTCTACTGAAGATAACCCTTCCCTTATTTCACGTGCACTCTTGAGGGCGCATTGGGTACATGTATTCTGGGTTCCTTATTCTATTTCATCCTGTCTAAGTTTCTGTTTTCATGCCATACTGTTTCAATCATGACAGCTTTGCAGTATAATTTGTAGTCAAGAAATCCAGTGCTTTTAGGTCAGAAATAAAGTATGATTTACTTCTCTCGAATTTATTGAGATTTTTTACGTGACCTTGTGTGCTCTGTGATAGAGAAAGAGTCACAGGCACTTGAGAAGAATGTAGATTCTACTGCTGAGTGGGATGGTCCGGTCTGTTCCATCTACTGGCACCAAATCTACAGTGTTATCATAGTCTTCCTCTCTCTCTTTACCCTTCTGTCTCGACACTCTGCTTACCATCAGAGAAAGTGGATTACTATTGATTTGATGGACAACTCCCCTTTCAGGTCTATGGAGGCTTGCTTTGCATATTTCAGTGTTTTGTGTTGGGTGTGGGCTTTTATGACTGTTACTGCAAACTGGCTCCTCAACCATGATGAAATGCCATCTCTTCTGACCATGTTGGCCTGAGTATACTTGCACTCCCCTGGTTCTCGTTCACACAGACGCTCTTCTCCACCCCTTCCCCTCCAACTGGAGGTGCGTCCTCATGAAGCCAGCTTCCTACACACGAAGTATGGTGAGACTGCTCGGTCACTTTTTTGACTTGTATCTGTCTGACCCATGTTCCCATCAGCCATTCTGTCTTTTGAGTGATGGGGGATTTTCCCCCAGCTACTCGTAGAGTATTGATGGAGAAGGGCTCACACTGCCTTTATGGCTCACACTGCCTCTTGGGCCTGTGGATCTTTTGTTTGCATTCTCTTACGCATTAAGCTGCTGTTTATTGGCTTTCTGGATTGGAATGCTGTGATTATTTTCTCTTTTTTGTTTCGGTTAACTTCTTGATATCATACTGCTGTTCCGTCACACAGAAGAAAATGTACAATTTAATACCTCTTCCATAATCTGCTCACCACAGTTTACATGTACTTGTATCGTATATTAAGTTATTTAAGAACCTCTGACTTTTAACTTTTTCACATTTGTTTACCTGTTTGCCACATGTTTACCTGTCTACCACATGTTTCCGGGGACCTGCAGAAGGATGTCTCAGGCGCAGCACCTCTGGTCTATGGAGTTTCTGTAGTGTGCTTTAAATATTTGGAATATGTCACTTACGCTCTCTGCCCTGCACAGTTTCTGCCTAAAGATCCACGGACAACCTGATGGGGATTCTGTTATTTACAGGAAGGCACTTTCTGCTGCTATTTTCAAAATTCTCACTTTGTCTCACCTTTACAGGATTTTATCATGTAAATTTCTTTAAGTTCATCTTATTCAGTGTCATATATGTTTCCTAGTTCTGGAAGCCCATTTCTGTCTCCACATGTCTATCTGAAAAGATTTTCTAAAATCTTGATGGTCTAGAAGGTGGTGGGCACAAACCTTTAATCTGATTTCAAGGAAAACCAGGGATACACAGAGAAATCCTGTCTTTTAAAAGGGGGGGAGAAAGAAAAAGAACAAACACAAAAGCTTTTGTCCCCTCTCCCACTCTTCTCCTTCAGCAGTCCGTATGATGTGCCCAATGCTGGCATCTCAAGTCCCCTTAACCTTCCTCCATTCCTTCCCATTCTCTTTTCTCTTTCTGACCCTCTGCCTGGGACTTCCCAGGGACCTGTCTTCCAGTACACTGATTTTTTTTTCTGCCTGAGTCCCTATTTTCCTCTAGAGACTTTTATATTTGGTCATTACAGTCCTTTTTTTTTATTGGTCAGTTTTTTTTAATTTATTTATTTATTAAGGATTTCTGCCTCCTCCCCACCACCACCTCCCATTTCCCTCCCCCTCCCCCTATCAAGTCCCCCTCCCTCATCAGCCCGAAGAGCAATCAGGGTTCCCTGACCTGTGGGAAATCCAAGGACCGCCCACCTCCATCCAGGTCTAGTAAGGTGAGCATTATGGTCTTAAGCTTTCTGACTTTGTACTCCTTGGTGCTTCTATTTCCCTGCTGAAATTCTCATTTTCCTCATGCACAATTCTTTTCTAGCTTCATGAGCGCTATTTTTATTCTCTTGTGAAGCAATCCATGTAAGTGCATTTTCTCAGATCTGTGTCTGCAGGTCTACCTTCCTCCTTTTTTGGGGACGCTTTTGCTTGGCTCTTCTTTCCCAGCCTGCAGAGAGCAGTCTCACAGAAAAGAGCAACCACGTCACTTATTCTAGTCAAGACGCTTTCTGTGTCCCCAGCAGGCAGCTGTGGGTGCCATCGGTCCACTCTGTCCTGAGCAGGGAATACACGCGTGAGAACTGTGGCATTCTCCAGCTCAAGCTCCACCTCTGTTTTCCCGGCAAATCAAGTCTATGTCAGACTTTTCAGAAATTCAGGACTGAACTGTAGATGCCGCTTGTTTCAGCAGCCCCAAAGCAGCTGGGGAACTGGTCACGCTGATGAAGTCTCTCCCTCCCAGTGAGTGGACAGGAGAAGGGGAGGATGGACAAGAACTTGAGGGAACAGGATGATCAAGATGGGGGAGGACAGAGATGGAGAGCAATGAAAGAGATATCTTGATTGAGGGAGCCATTATGGGGCTAGCAGGAAACCTGGCACTAGAGACCCCAGCTAAAACCCTAAGCAATAGAGGAGAGGGTGCCCAAACTGGCCTTGCCCTGTAGTCAGGTTGATGACTATCTTAACTGTCATCATAGACCTTCATCCAGCAGCTGGTACCACAGAGGCAGAGACCCACAGTGAAGCACTGGGCTGAGCTTCCAAATCCAGTCGAAGAGTGGGAGGAGTGAGAATATGAACAAAGAGGTCAAGACCATGATGGGGACATCCACCGAAACAGCTTACCTAAGCTAATGGGAGCCCACCAACTCTGGTCTGACAGGGAAGGAACCAACAGAAAACCAAACTAGTCCCTCTGAATGTGGGTGACAGTTGTATGGCTGAGGCAGACTGAGAGGCCGCTGGCAGTGGGACCAGGATTTACCCCTACTGCGTGTACTGGCTTTTCGAAACTCATTCTCTTTGGATGGATACTTTGCTCAACCTAGATATAGTAGGGAGGGCCTTGGTCCTTCCTTAAAGCAATGTGCCTTGCCCTCTCCCAGGAGTATATGGGGGTGAGTTGGGGGAAAGGTAGAGGGAATGGGAGGAGGGGAGGGATTGGGAACTGGGATTGGTATGTTTCTAAATAAAACAAAAACAAAAAAGATAGTTTTATGTCAACTTGACCCAAGCTAATGTCATCTGAGAGGAGGGAACCTCAACTAAGAAAATACTTCCAATAAGATGGGGCTATAGGCACGTCTGTAGGGCATTTTCTTAATTAGTGATTAAAGTGGGTAGACCCTGGCTTAAAGCCCAAGACCCTGGGCTGTGGTCTTGGGTTCTATAAGAAAGCAGGTTGAGCAAGTCATGGGGAGCAGGCCAGTAGACAGCGCCCCTCACAGCCTCGGCATCAGCTCCCTGCCCTGACTTCCTTCAGTGATGGATTACAATGTGGAGGTGTAAGCCAAACAAACCCCGTCCTCCACAACTAGCTTTCGGGCATGGCGTTTACAGTGATAGAAACTTAACTAAGACACGGGGAGGCTGCAGAGCTAGTGTATTTGTTTATCTCTCTGCTGTTGAGCAAGCAGAAGGCTAATGCTGCCTTCTCCCTCAAGTTACCAGAAGCCTCTCAGCTGTGACACCCTCCTACCGTACGCCCTCCAGGTTATCACTGAAACATCCTGGTGGCCAGCGCGCCTGCAGGGCAAGCCGCTGGGATACTGAATTATGTCTCTTCCCGCTAACAAGGAGTAGCAGGTGCGATAAGGGAAGTACATCAAATGTGAATGGCAGCTAATCCTGCATCCAGCCCTCCACTCCCTGCCCAGGGCATCCTGCACATTCGTTTCACATGGCTGAATCTCAATTTCCTGATTCCCACAAGGCAGGCAGCGATGCCAGCTGCTCACGGGAGAGAAAGCACAGCAAACAGCCAAAACTGAGCAAGGAGCGTCTCAGCCCTAATTCTGGGGCCGTCAGAGTTCACATGCTGGCTTTGTGGCTACTCTCCAAGCAGCTGGGCCCCCATTCCACACCACTTCAGTGTCCTCCTCTGCAGAGGGATGAAGCCACTCATCCCTAGGAAAACGTGCACACGACAACAGGGAGTAAAAGAATTCACAGGTACGCACAGAGCAAGAGCTGTGAGTTGATTAGCCACAGGCGCTCTGTGCCTTGATGCCTTCACAAGCCTTAACTAATCTGAGATGAGCCAGCCTGTGCTCCCCAACCTAAGAGAGTTTTCCGGCATGGTTTTGTGTCTTCACGGACACCAAAACCCAGAAGAGCACAGAAGAACGGAAGAGAAAAGTGCTCTGTGTCCACTCCATCTCCTGAGTGCCATTCACACGGTGGCACTCCCAAACAGGTGACAGCTCAGCCACTCTAAGTGCATTAATCTGTCATCCAAAGTATGTTGAAAAAACAAAGTATGTTGAAAAGACAATACAACCCGCTAAGACAGAGGTTTCAACAGAATCTCTCTAAGCAGGCAAGCAAACTTCAGCCAATGTATCACACACTGGTTCACATGGAAGGCTCGGGTTCCTTTCCTGTAAAATACAAACGACACCTCCGACCTCCTAGAAGGAGAAAGGGAAGGGTAAGACCCCCATCTCGAGAAACACTCCGTCATGATTCAGAAATGAAGAATCCCCAGTTCACAATAAAAAAAAAAAAAAAAACCACTCTTTGGACGAAGTTCTGTCTCCCTGCCAACATAGGAAGTATGAGTACTGGCGGAAAAAACGTGAAAGAACTGGCATGTGCCACCTAAGAAGCCACAGCCTCCTCTACATGGGACCAGCTTCCTTGTTGGACACCCACCCATCGCTTCTCAACCATACTGCTTCTCTCCCCCTAAACTACAGAGATATTCTAGTTCCTCTGTCCTCCTCCCCCTCTCTCCCTCCCCACCTCTTCATCCACTTCCCAGCTCCTCTATCCCCTCCCTACACCCAACACACCTTCTCACCCTCCCAGTAAGCTGCTGAACGTGCCATCCCTACCTCACGTTGTCATGCCTCTGGATGTAAATCTTGTGGAAAATCCTCTCAGGGGGCTTCAGGAAGTCTTCCTTCATCTCCATGGCGACATTCCGGGGCAAGAGGCTCATGAGCAGCCGCTCCTGAGTAGGAGAAACATCATTTGTTAGACAGCAAGGACATCCCCCATTCCTGCTAGCCCAGGAGAGACACTGTTATGTGGTGGTGCTGGGGTCTACAGACCCTGCTCAGGCAAGCCAGCACACGCCCAGGCCTGCAGGCACTGCCCAGACTCCAGAGCCCCATGGACCAATACTCAAACATGGACTGACTCCAGAAGCCTAACCCAGCATAGATGGGCCTTACCTCACAGACATGTTTCCAGCCCTCTTCCAGCCTATACCCTGAGCACTATCTCCTACCAAGGCCCCACTAGGTCCCCTTCCCTTCCCTCTACTGGTCCAACAGGATCCAGAAATAGTCCTAAAGTCTGACCCCTTGTTACAGGAAGAAACAGCCTCAGGGACAAGATGACCCCTTCTCTTGGCCATTGTCTTCTCATGCCGCCCTGATCTGTGTAGGGTAAGCATTTTCTTTCTCTCCCCAAGAGAAAAGAATAAGGGTATGGTTTGTTTCGAAGGGACGAAGCACCCTGGCGAACTCACCGGCACCCTCCCTGGCTTCGGGTTCCTGTCTGCGAGCTGGCCTCTGTCTCTCACCTTCCAGATGTGACCTTCCCTGATTTCAACCCCAGCTTGTTCTGATCTGCCAGGCCTGTGCTGCTGTGTGCTGGATCTGAAGTATAAGGGCCCCCTTTTCCCTCAGGCCTCTCATGCCCTATCCCATGTTGCCTTGCAAAGGAAGACCAAAAATGGTCTTTAAATCACAAGAATGGGGGGGAGGGAAATGGGAGGCAGTGGTGGGGAAGAGACAGAAATCTTTAATAAATAAATAAATTTAAAAAAATAAAAAAAATCACAAGAATGGAGAAGAACAATCTATTGACTGTGGAGGACGAGGTTGAGGGAGGAGGCTCAATCCCTGCTCTGACTGGCTGCAGGCTCTTCCGCAGACCCCCACCCACCCACCCTGCTGGACTCATCCTGTCTGGCCCAGTGTCCTGGCCATCCTCCTTCTGGAGAGCTATAGCAGTCTTGCCACGGGGTGCATTCCTTCCCTGCCAAGCTCTGAGTCTGTCCCGGACCATGGCCTACGGTGGCTGTGAGAGACCACGTCTCTGACTATAGGCAACTGCAACCCTGGTGCCTTTCTCAAGGACCTAAGCCTCTGTGTCCACAGAGACTATCAGGGCAATAGCTAAGAGGCAGCCACAGTCCCTGAGAGCCTAAAGATTCCAGGAAGTAATGAAAGAGTCCCACCCTTCTGTTGCACACAATGGACAGTATTGAATTTGCAAGCTCATCCTATGAATACAGAGCACAATGGGAACACTGGGAAAACCCCGGAAAGCTGCTAATACAAGCAAGCTTATGTTAGGCGAAAGGAAGAAAACCAGGTGCATCACTGGAGGATGATTAGGGCGAATCTGTGCATCTGAGGGAAGCCACCAGGGTCCTGCCCCAACGCCACATGTATAAGCACGGTCTAGTGTTGTCTATAAACCTACTTGCACCAGCCCCGCACCAGCCCCACACCAGCCCACGCCAGTTCCCACGCATCTCCTTGCTGATGGACCCAGACATAGACAGGTAAGCTGGAGAAGGCAGGATCACCTGTTTACAAGTTGCGTCACAAAGAAAGAGGACACTGACCAGGCCACTCTCGGGGACAGACAGAAGGCAGAGAGCATGATGGGGAGTAGTCGGGTCCCTTCCTACACTACAACCCTCTAGGGATGCAGCCACAGATGAGGCCCCCAGAGGTGGGCCAGTAACCAGCTGGGCTGGGCTGAAAGGAACTTCTGGGGGCCGTATTCATTAATATGTCAGAAATTAACAATGCACCAACCTTGAGCTTCCGGAGAACGTTACAGCCATGAGATCCAAAAGCACAGGCCAAGTGGGAACACAAAGATTCCGGCACACTCAGAAGTCCATGGGAAAGGCTACCAAAAAGGTCACCCCAGAAGCATAGAGGAAACGGGGGGCTCCTTGAGCTGAGGATGTAGAGGCAGGCTGCTGGCTCACATTCAGCCCTTCTTTTACAGCTAACCCTCTCCCACATTCCCCCCTGAAAGTCCCACAACACTATCACCACAAACCCACAGGGGGCCTTAGACCATTGCTACACTGCCTGCAGTGTCCATCAGTACAAGCAGAGTTGCAGGCCAAAGTACTGGAGCGGTCAGACAGGGGGATACCGCCCTCCAAGGAATGGGGTGGACCAGGGCCACGGCTGACAAGAGGGACATAAGAGAGAAAAGCTGCTGGAACTGCACACAACCTCTAACATGGAATCGTGAAACCCTTCACGCGGGAAGCTGAGCCATGGCATGGTGGCTGCAAGAAGCAATTTTGGCAGTCAGTGGTCATGTGACTGGCCCGTTACACCTGCTCCGCTGCTAGCATTATTTTCATCAGGATTTTTGGCGGCCAGGGTTTTCCAACCTCCCAAGCAGCTAGCTGTGGACAAGAAGATATAATTCTGACTCAGAATTAAAAACTTTAGAACACAACCTGATGGAGCACAGACTGATGCAGCCGCTGTGGGAATCAGTGTGGATGTTCCTCAAAATGTTAAAAATTGATCTATCATACGATCTCGTTAGACAACTCCCGGGTCTCCTCTCCTACGGCAAAGACACTTGCCCACCCTTGCTCACTGTTGCTGTATTCCCAAGAGACAAGAAATGAAAAGCCCAGATTCCCGTCAGCTAGTGAATGGATGATGAAAACGCCACACAGATACACAATGGAATGCTATCCAGCTATACAGAAAAACGAAATTACGAAATTCTCAGACAAATGTATGGAGCTGAAAATAACCACTCGGAGCGAAGGAACAGAGACTCAGAAAGGCAAATGCCATATGTTCTCTCTCCTGTGGAGATGCTAGCTGCAAACCTTTAGATTTGTGCATTTAAACTGGAATATCTGCAGAAGTAAAAATAAAAATGGTAGGGGCCCATGGTGGTGGGTTTCAAGGGCCAGTGGAGAGAACTCAGGTGGCAAAAGGGAGGAAGAAGAATGGAGCAGGAAGGATTAAAGGGTGGGGGAGGGTCAGGAGACGAGGAAGTCTATGGAGGTATAACAGGAAAGCCCTTTGAAAAAGCCACAGGGAACCGTACTCTGTAGGAGTTTCCTAAAATATACACACATACAAGAATAGTTTAAAGGGAGTTCCCCATAACAGGGAGAAAATACATCATAGGCTATCAAATAAAAAGCCCAGTGCCAGCTCTACGATACCTCTTTTTGGGGACAATGAGGTTCCCTAGATGCTCCCCAAACACTATAGGCTAATGCTCTTGTGTTTGGTTAACCTCCAGAACTTGATGGTGACACCCCATTGCTGAAGATCGCACACACTTGAGTCACAGAACATGGAGAAATCAGTACATTTCTGAAATGAAAGCTTCATCCTCCATGCTGCCAGGGGAGAAAGGCAATCTTACCCGGCTTTGAACCCTGAAAGCTACAATAATGACTGGCCTGGCAAGATACACCCACTGGTTCCACAGTGGCATGGATGTCCTGGGAGTAACCAACCATTTCTTGCTTGGAATGAAGTCCTGCTTCACAAGACAAAACTCATATCTGGTACCATTAAGTAGGCTAAGAATCTGTGACTAGTCGATCATAGTCTCTAGGGTAGAACTTCCTGCTATTTGCTAAATGAAAATAGAATTAAACTGCCCCCTAAGTACTTATCTTCATACTCATAGAATAGTGCCTCTCTCAGCCTTCATCACAGAAACCCATCTTTCCAGCATATGGTTATTATTACAGAGATTTATAACTGGTCAGCATGCAAGGCTAAGGAGACTGCAAAATTCTCAGTCCTAAATGAGACATCTACATCACCCCCTTCCTCTTAAGTTGGGGGCGATCATCAAGAGGAGGCAGAAAGATAGCAGAACCAGAGGGAGTGGAAGACTGCAGAGAAATGGTATTTTCTGAACATGGGGTGTGACACACACGGACTCACAGGGGCTATGACTGCATACACAGATCAAGCCAACCAAATCCCAGCATGGATGGAAGAGGGGCCTATGAATTTCCACCCTTAGCTGAGGGACTATTGGCACTTGATGGCTGCTGGGGAGCAAGAGTCAATTTTCTTCAGGGATGTGGACGGAAGATTACCTACATTTCCGAGACAGCCCCACCCCCACACACATGCCAACTGCACCGGACTCGGCGCATTTAAAACAAAAACAAATAATACAAAAAAAGGAAGTACTGGTGAGGCGGTTAGGGGAGGAATTGAAGATAAAATAATGAAATTAATAATTTACTTTTTTAAAACATAAAAATCAAAATTGGAAAGCAATAGAGGAAAGACACATTGATCTCTGGCCTCCACATGCACACACACACAGGTGTGTGCAGTACACATGCACACACATACACACGCCATAAGCACATGATAAAAATGAAAAGAGATGACAAGAATCCTTACCAAGATGCGAGCAATTCCCAACACATATACGAACTGCATTTCCCACCAAATGAAATCTAACCCGAGAATGAGATGCTAGCTCAGTACTGAAATATCAATGCTATACTGGGATAAGGAAGAAAATAGCAGCAATTAGTACTGATAAAGGAAACAATGAAATGTAGCTCTTACCTACGGTGAAAATCTTTATAAAGGAGAAGCCAGGAACTTCCTCATATTGACAAAGGGAAGCCCCAGGAAGCCTACAGTTCACACCACACTTAATGGGAGAACTTCAGACCTTCCATCGAAACAAGGAATGGGGCAGTGACTCTCACTACTTGCATCTGATGTCACACTTGGCAAGCTAGTCAGCGTGGGGAGGTAAGAAAAGAGCTGCAGGATAGAAGAAGGAGCCCCAAGCATATGGTGGTCTCATCTATAAAAAACAGAACCAATATGCCTAGGACAAATAACCAACGTCAAAGAGTCACATAGGCAAACCGCCCTTCAAGAACCTCCCACGTTTCCACACAGTAGCAATGAACACATGTACACACACTGTTTACAAATGCTCAAAAGG